CTTCTTATGCTCTCCCGTCTCGCAACTAATTTTATACACTGGCACTGTAGTATTCTGGTCTGTTGCACAATAATGACGGCTTGCAAGCTCGTCCGCTATTACTCTGTGTCATTCTGTTGTAGTAATTTCCTGGCTTTTTGTCCCCTCACGCCTTGTGGTATGCTGAGAAACCCAGCTTGTTGACCATAATGAAGGCCAATCAGGCTCTTTCTCGTGATCAATTTTAGTAGACGCTGATTCATTCAGTGTCGATGTTGATGCATGTTTCGACCTTGATGAAACCAAGTCCACTCATTTTCGACAACTCTCCGTTGACATGAGTCATGTCGAACGAATCATCCTCAAAGAAGTCGTGAGGAAGATGAGATGACGGATCATATTCTTCCATGATCTTGATGGCCTCATTGACAACGTCATACCCAAAGTTGAAAGCCAAGTTTTCTTGCGGATTTTCTGCGAGATGTTAGTGGCAAAGTCCCTATCTCATCTTCACGGGCAACAGCAGTAACATACTCGGGATCTCATCTGCTGCGACAAATTCCACAAGGTCCTTCTCGACGAGACTGGATTGGTCGGTTCCGACGTTGCTGAGAATTTGAATGGCACTGGCACGGTTTCGACGGATCTTCTCAAATAGGTCCAACCTCTTCTCGAGATCAGAGTTATCAGACACACCTGCAAACACGACTCCCAGAGCCAAACCATCTTCGAGACCCATGGCACCGCCTTGCCCTTGATCTACGCACAGACGATATATCAGCGACTAAATCAACGAGGATAAAACCGTCCATACGGTGTAGCACTCACGAGGTAGCATTGGATGCGCCGCATCGCCTGTTATGACCATCTTCCCTTTCCGCCAGGTCGGTAGCGGAGCACGGTACAACAGTGGCCATCGCTTGATCTCAGTTGCTTTGCTGATTGTGACGTTAATCATGGGTAATCGGCGCCTATCTTCGACGCGACCTACTTGATAATAGCCAGTAGGCTTGGATGAAACCCAGCGAACTTTTCAATTACTTGCGCTTTGTCGACATCGGCTTGATAATCTAACGTCACGGTATGAGTAAGCCTCATCAACTCCCAGACGGTTCCTTGAGTGGTATTTGCACAAACCTTCACTGGAAACGTCCTTCATGTCTTCATCGTAAGATATACCCACGAAGTTGTGGATGGTGTTGCTAATAGGTCAGATAGAGTCCATCTCTCGAGGGCACAATGCACCTACTTGCGGCATGGATATGACACTAGCCTCCTATTGGTCTTGTTGTCGGGGAAAAGACGGATGAGTCCATCAGTGTCCTCATTCCAGAACTTGGTCTCGGAATCTTCCTCAAGAACTTCGGCAGGAATCAAGAAACGGTAGCAGCAATTATGGAGAAGAGGCGCAACGGCAGGATTCTTGCGGCCGAGGACAGTCTCAGCCGCAATAGAGTGAATTCCATCTGCACCAACAACCAGGTCACACTCAATCTCGTCACCATCTTGGAGATGCACAGCTGGCAACTCAGGATTCTGTAAAACAGTCAGCAAAAAGAGCAACCATCGCGGTGGAAATGTTGGCAGGGATCTTCCCCGCACTCACGTATCCCACAACCCACGAGTTGGGATGGATGGTGACGGGAACGCCCGGGCCGGCAGGATCGGTCGCTATCCTCTTGAGGCTATCGTGCAGATCCACGCGGTGGGCGTACCAGAGATCGGCGTCGTAGAACTCCTCGTTGTCGGCGTGTGATAGCGTCGACGTGATCTCCATCGTGACGGGATCCTGGAAATGAACAGGCCCAGCCTTGACGAAGCCAGAAGCCTTGGGGTCGAGACCCCATCGTGTGAGAAACCGCGTCGCATTGGGAGGGACGTTGATAGCGGCGCCGACCTCGTTGTCCATGTCAGATCGCTCGTAGATGCGCACAACGTGGCCCGCACGGCGCAGCGAGATGCCGGCCGAGAGGCCGGCGACGCCTGCTCCGACAATGACTACGTCCAGCATGGTACTAGTCGCTTTTAGACTAACAGGAAAGGCACGTTTTCGTGTTCAGTATCACTTCTCACTGCCGAATCGTTGATATCGTCTGAAAGATGTCACGTTGATGGAGGAAGAAGCCAAGAAAGAAATCCGTCGGCTTCGGCCTCAGTAGGAGAACCAACACGGGGCCAGGAAGCCGTTGCATTCGCCTGTATCTGACAGGGACCATGTAGGGTTACGACCGCCCTCACTCCGCCAAGACGACCGCGATCTGCGGCGCAACCCGCTCTTTGATGGAGACATAACCCTGTGATCGGGACTCAACGGCGGTACTACGCGAAGCTATTGGACGGTGACCGAAAGAGAGGAGTCTTCGCCATCAACCTGAGGATACTGCCGGGGTCCGTGCAAGAAGGAGCGAGACGGTTGAGAAAACAATAGTTGTCTCGATTCACATATCTTGATATGTAATCTTGTTCATTTGGGGTTTTCGAAACGCACTTGGCAATTTGGAGAAGGTGGACAATAGGTGAGGACATGCCTGAACGCAACTCCAATTTCGTGGACGTTCTAGGTTAAACTTTACATGCCTACTAGTACCGGAGTATTCCAAGTCCTACTCCCTTCCCTAACTAAGTATGTATTTGTTCCGAAGGGGCGACATCCCGACACAGTTAGGCACAGTGACCCAAAACGAGACCGAACTTTCTATCCGCAATTCTATGGTATTGAGGAACTCACAAGCTGTGGCAACTCATTCTTGCTTCTCCGAATTTCTAGACAAACAGAGCCAAACGGAGCGCTACCACAGGTGAGCTCCAACGTCGCGGAGAAGGACAGGGCCCGTCAAATGAGTCCCACCGTGGCAACGCGTCGGAGTTCGTCCCTTGGTCCGCTATTGGACCAGACTATCGCGAATGGAGTCCACCTGCAGGTGCCCTTGTCGATTACCGTTGTGTCGAACCCATGTCGGAGAAAATTTGATTCACTGAGAGGGCCATGTGGGAGGCGGTTTCATATCCAATGAGTGAGCGGTTTTCAGTTTGATCTTTTCGGCAAAGCAATAGGCAGTTCGGGTATTATCTGACAGCGGCATTCTCGCCAGCGCCAAGACGTGTCCAATTTGAGGTTCCTTGGTTGATTGACAGGACTAGGAAACTCAAATAGCAACCAGATACTTGATAAGATAGTGTGGCCGAGATTACAGGAAACACGAAATGGAGTGCAGCATCCGAAAAGCGTTGGAAGGAATGTTGCGTGCCGGGCGGCGGCCCGCCCACTAGTTCAGCCACCTGCAAGCACAAAGTGAATTTTCTTGTGGTAGCACAATCCATATGTACTGAGTAGTTAGGGAGTATTACGTAGGCCATCCCCTCGGCTCCCATTCATCCAGAGGCCGAGCCCGAGACACATCATGGATTAAGATCCGCCTTATAACGTTGTGGCCGTGCACCCTTGCCGTCTCGGCCGGGGACTTCCGGGCAGCCAAGGGATGGCGGGCCGATCCTTGCAAACGCGAGTTGGGTGAGAACTTCATGAAGTCTGTGCAGTCTGATGATTAGAGATTGACAGGTGAAAAGGCGTGGGAAACAAGTATCAAACAACAAGGCTCTAAGACCAACTTACTACTCTTCTCATGTTTAGTGATCTGTAGCCACCTATGTTGCCTAGGACCATTGAGGGTGTTACCAAACTACTTGGGGGTCTCTCTTCCCAAAAAGAGTCGCATGAATGTGATCGTGAAGAGAAAAACAAGAAGATTGCTCACGCGTGGTATTGCATGACCGCGAAGTGAGTGTGTTAGATCAGCATTGTGGCATTCCTGATGTCCGTGGTTTTCCTTGTATGCATCGCGACCACGAACCGTAGCAGTAGTAATCCAGTCTAGGGGTACTCAATATTATTTGGCATCGCTCTAGGCTTCTGACGACTCTCGTCACAGGAGCTCAACTTAGCAATCCGCTTAAACTAATATCAGTCGACAGCGGTCTCATAATCAGCACGTAATCGCTTGGTGGGACTATTGGAATCTCCACCCACGTTGTTCTCTTCAACGAGGGCATGAGCCACATGTCCGCAAACATTGCCCAAGGAGTCTCACTAGCATGTTTTGAAGCTGATTATTTTGTATCTCTTTCCATAGCTCTCAATTCGCACAATCAGAGCGCAAACACCCCTGTTCAAGGTGCCGCTCATAAGGTTTCCTCTCCCTCTCGATGGGTACGCTTGTGCTTTCAGAAATGTCTGGATCTCGGCGAGTTATTTCGTTGCTCTGGCATCCATCGGCGAGTGCACTTCAGGCTCGGGGTTAGGGCCTTAACAATTACCTACTGACTTATGATTACAAGCCTCTGCCTTCCATTTTAATCCCGAGAAAGGCTTCAACAATCACGTTAATATCCCTTTGGAAAAGAAATGGATCCAGTATCTGTGGACGAGTACCCTGATTATGGGTGAGGGCTCACCAAATGTAGGCCTGTCGATGATACATGTTGCTGCCTCCCATTCATCGACGAAGAACATCTGTTGCGCCTCAAGTTTTTCACATGCCTACATGAGATTGCAGTGTTGTTGGACTTAAGCATGGTGAACCAACCTCTTCCTGGGTGAACTCAAAGTCATAGATGCCTCGTACAAACTCCTGAAGACTTGGAATTTTTAAAACCGTCTGAGAAGCTCTTCTTAACCCAATGACTTCATTTTCCAGGTTGAGTCCGCATCAAATGACCAAAGGCTTGTACTTAGCCTCAACATGTATTAGTGCTCTTTTGGCTTACCGTAACGCCGAAAGCGGAGTAGGGCTTCGGAAGAGAACGCCGACGGACGAGGTGCGGGGATCGCTCATCTGCAGATGTCCGGCTTACCTCAACGATTGACTCACTCTTGGCAAGTCATTCTAGAGAACTTATGTGCCGTATAATTGGAAACCATCACTGCGACCCATTGGCTATCCATCAAGTAGTCAATTGTCAGAATCACATCGTGTTGGCAGTCGAACTTCAGTCACCCCTAAATTATCTGGCCGACCAACAAAATGAGCGCAGCTTCAATCGTATCTTCAGCGTTACGCCCCCGGCTGGGATGGATAGGTGGGTGCACCTACTTGTTCCTGTCTCTAAGCTTCGTGCGCATGCTGACGAGTCGACAAGGTCTCGGGTCAATGGGTCTCGGCATGGCTACAAATTTGCAAAATCATATCAAAACGCACTTTGCCGGAAGCCTCCAATTTCACAATCGGACAATGTCTCGAGGCGCTCCCTTAGAGAAAGCCGGAGGCGCGCCGCAACCGAACATCATTGACCTTGTCAAAAACACGGACATTGTGTTCATCTCACTCAGCGACGACAAAGCACTCGAGGCGACGTTGGACGCAATCCTAAACGACGCAGCCACAGCTGATCTATCAGGTAAGATTATTGTCGACACCTCAACGGTCCACCCCCTGTCGTCTGCAAAGGCGAAAGACAGATTGGCAGCAAGGGGAGCCCAATTCATTGCTGCGCCGGTGTTTGGGGCAAGCCCAGTCGCTGCGCAGGGTAAGCTGCTCTGGATCATCGCTGGACCCGATGATGCCGTGGAGAAGATCAAGCCGTTCATCGTCGGCGTCATGGGCAGAGGCATCATCTGTCTAGGGGAAGACGTGCAGAAAGCCAGCATCATGAAGACGGCTGGGTGAGTAGAAGACGTCGAACAATGCCATCAGATATGATGCAATCGTGCTAACCTGCCGCAGAAACTTCGTGACCGCGGGGATGATGGAGCTGGTCGCAGAGGCCCAGGTCTTTGCGGAGAAGTCCGGACTCGGTAGCGATGCAATGGAGGATCTTCTCGGACAGCAGTTTGGACCCTTGGCTCAGGGCATGTCAAAACGCCTGACGACTGGTGCTTACTTACCGCCTCGTGATGAGAGGCCGTGGTCTGACTTGTCCCTGGCGATGAAGGATGTCGGGCATGGTCTGAGCTGTGCGGAGGAGGCCGGTGTACGTCTTCATATCGCTGATATTGCTGCTGGGCATCTGAAGGAAGCGAAGAAGATTTCAGATACTCAAGGGCGGGCATTCGATTCTTCTTCATTGTATGGGGTGGTGAGAACGGAGGCCGGACTCGATTTTGAGACAGACCTCGTCAAGAAGAGAGATGGCTCTTCTTGATTGAAATCGTTATACTTTACCATGTATATACATCGGTACAAAGAAATAATTACCACCTGATCACCAACAATGGCATTTAATGTTAGCGAGCCGTCAAGTAAAGCTGGGACCAAAATATCGAAGAAAGTCTACAAAACTCAGGCGATGTCGATTCAATTCGGTCTTCATAGCCACGCACACGGCGAGGCAGTCCGTTCGGCAAAACAGTTTTTCACTCATGAAAGTAGAAAGTTGAAAGTAGGGAGTACAAAATCTTGAAAACTTGCCTCGATGGGGTTGATGCCGGTGTTGCAGGTGTTGCAGGTGCTGTTGTGGTCCTTTGCCATCCAGCAGTGGAAATATCGATCTTGATCGGGGTTCCTTACTTGACTACGGGTGCCATATTTACGAATGTAGAAGGCAGTAGTCGGCGTTACAGATACATAGAGGACACGGGACTCAAGCTTTCCTCTAGCAATCGATTGAATATATACTGCAAAATGTATTTGCGGATGAACGACTGTTCAAGGGCATCTACAACTTGGCTGGAACGCTCTGTCACTATTTCCCATACATATAAATTCAGTCAGAATGAATCATCCGGCACCATCCATGTGTCAGCATCTGTCAACTCGACTTGACGAGGGGCTATTGGGGAAATTTGGGTTGGGTGTACAAGATGAGAGCAAGTGAGCAACTATGAATCATCCTGGCCAGGACCCCCCCATCGGCTGTCGCCCCATCAGCGTCCGTCAACTACAGTAGGTATCTGCAAATGAATGAGACCTTCAGGCCTTCCTTCGATCCCGGTGACATTGAACGAGCTATTAATATACATGGGAAACTCAAGAGATAAGTCTCCTGGACGTAGGCATTATGTGAAGCCGTGCTCAAGTGTGCTTCATTGTGTCGCTGAGAATGCCTTTGCCGGAGTTCACCTCGAGCTACTCCCTGCACAAGTCTAACACCTACTCTTCTGGTGCATTGACTTTTGGGATCTGGAGTGGTCTGTTAAAAAAAAACCTTCGGGCGTATCAACACGGCACATTGACTTGTGCATTTGAAGAGATGTAGAAAGTAGACCACAAAATTCCAAGTTCAAGTAACCGTGATTCCAGATGCTCTATCATACGACTTGTCTCGGCATCTCCTGAATAGGCGCCACTTCACTGCCCCGATTCACCGCGGTCATGTAAATTTTGCGACCGATTAAGGGTTTCTCCGCAACCAAAACAGGCGTAGGTATTGGAGGCCCGTCACCCCAGCCGCTTGACAAGCTAGAGTTACTGGAGCTGGTGGAGCTTCGCCAAGGAATGATCAAGGATTCCTGGGAGACAGTTGAGAATGTTTGCTGCTCCGTGGACGACATTGGTGACAGTGTGGGCGCATTCGATGGTCTAGAAAACCTTGACATCATCCCTCGCAAGGAAGTTGTCCTCGGTTCCTTTCTCCCGATATACGGAGGGGGAGGCCAGCTCTCTACCCGGGCCTGCGCCATTGCTGCATTTCTCTGTCTTCGTTCTATTGCGGATTGGAAGAATGCAGGGATCGCATAAGTCGCTTGCGGCTTCTCCTCTCGCGGTGCGGGTACGGCATCGGTTATGACAGAGGCGCTCTGATCTAGTGATTGTTGCGTTTGTGGACTTGGACCCGTTCCTATGGCATATCTGCTAGATGTCGACGAGTCGCGGAGACCTGATGATCTGGGAGGTGGCTGACCAAGGGATCGCTGGATCGGAGGCGGAGGTGGAAGTGACACCATGGGGGGATTAGAGGTCAGCGGGGGAAGACCAGGACCTTCAAATCTATCAGGCCTGTCCGGGCGAGGGGGAGCTGGTGGTTCTCCCATGATGGATTTCGTTTTTTCATTTCTACGGGCTTGACGGCGAGTCCTCCACCTCCTGAAAAGAAATAAGCCTGCAAACAGACCGAAAAAGGCTACAAGTCACCGGCGCATCAGTCACTGCTTTTATTTCTGCTAGTCTTACAGATATCTCAGGTCTTAACTCACCGAGAATCAAAAAGACGATTCCAGTTGTCCTACCGGCGTTGTTCGAGCTGGTACTAGCTTGTGTAGGCGGTGGTGACGCGGTTGTTACCGGGGCACCAGCCACTGATGAACTAGTTGTCGGTGATGAACTTGATGGCAGTGGAATAACGCTGGATGATAGCGTCGATGTCTCTGCCGCAAGAGGTGTACTAGATGTCGAGGCATCTGTCACTGGAGGAATTGTGGTTGAAGATAGAACAACGCTCAACGTCGATGTTACCAGGGTTGATGGCTGCGGTGGCAGTGGTGGTAATGGGAGAGGGGAAGAAGATGGAACATTTGTTGTCGATGAAGGAGGAGCGGGCGCACTACTTGGTAGACTCGTAGTAGTTGCCGATGGTTGTGCTTGTGTCTGGGTCGCTGTCGCTGTGCTATGCTGCCCATTTCTTGTTCTCGTGCATTTTTTCTCATCGTCGTCATCATCGCAATCGTCATCCTTCTCATCTGGCTCATTCTCATTTTCGCTGTCTTGCCTCGCTTGAAGAGCTTCCTTGCTTACGGTATCGTCTCTCATCCTTCTTCTAAGTAACTGTATTGTTCTCGTGAGTGGAGACCTCTTGATAGAATCCAACCTGGTCGATTTTGGGTTGAGGGAACTTGAGATCGCACGAACCTCGACTCTGAGTGAAGACATTATGACAATTAGTCACTAAGACCCAAACATACAGTTTTTTTCGGAGTGTTTCCACTGTTGACTTCTTTTGATCGATGTTTGTCGGCGTCTCCTTGATCAATCGCGCCTCTATCGGTTCGCAACGTACATGTCACAGGCCTGCTGCACATTAAGTCGACCTAGAACAAATCAAAGTAGAGAACATTCAATTTTGACTTGGCGAGACATCGATTACTTGGCCTCCTTAAAGCCCCTGGTGAGCATCGTCTTGTCGTTTGCTTATAGCGGAAAACAGCGTTGGGCCCTGGACGATTGTTTCAAAACTCAGCTCTACCGGCTTCCGGGGCTTGAGGCGGACCACGGAAAGCTTGTTTTGGAGCCAAAAATAATCTGCCGTGAGTAATCCCCGCCCAATACTACGCTCGTGTTGATGGCAGCATCGGATTGAAGAGTTGGGGTTGTTTCACTGCTAGGGACCCCGCATAGCTCCCGCGTCTTTTATTTGACGGTGACATAGCCCCTGAGGTCTCTCCAACAAGTTCCCGCGCCTGGCCTCACTATAGAATACGACATGACACGGGGACGGGTGTAACTCGGTAAGATGAGAGACAGCTGAAGCTTGATCATGAGGCTCTTAGTGATTGATAATGGATTCAGATGAAATGCCGATTGAGGTGAGGCGAAGGCCTTTGGTGCCGTGCTCCGAGAGTTTGCGCGCACCGTAAATGTGTTTTACCACTCTGTCTTATTCCTTCTGCATGCGTTCTTAAGTAACATAATATCATCGTCAATGGTAATCAGCATTGATACCGGACTCATGATCTCGTGAGTCAATCTTTTAGCTTTTGTAGGCTTACACATAGCAGGAAAAGGCTGTCATCCATGCACGACTTTGTCTTACCAAGAGCTTCATGACTTGTTTTGATCCTGTGTGAATTGCGGCATAGACCCTAACACATTCTCAATGAATTTGCACCCGAAGGTTGAATACGACGAAACCTCGCAGGCTTCTGGAGGAGAATACAACGGATAGAAGCATGGCACCAATACAACGGAAGGTGAACAACTCGAAGTTACATGTATGTTAAATTGAACATGATCTGCAAAGCTTCAATCTTCAGTCGTGATGTCACCTATCATAAGGTAGAGTGTTGCACGCTGAAGAAAAGTATACTCTAGGTCATAGAGCCATTGTTTCAAATCTCCGTTGACGACTTACTCCGTTTCCTCTGTCTAATATCAAGCACACAGATTTGGAGGAAAGTAAATCGAATATGAATTGTTGCTAAAGTACAGCTTTGCACGATCCCACCGCTTGCCTTGATACCGTAACAGACAACAGTTACTCCTTCCGATCAAAACAAAGTACTCAGCCCAGTATCGCTATAAAAGAAAGTGATATGGCAGCACTGTTCAATTTGTTTCTTCCCTAAACCTGGCTTCCAAAGGTTCAAAAAAGTGAAAGGCCTGCAAAAACCTGGTCCAAACAATGACCGACTTCGACGAAAGAGCCTAGTCATCCATATCCGTCTGACCGGGGGCATCTACGAAACTTAGCATCATTCTGTTCATACGAATAACTGTCTTGTAAAGTTCACATACCATCGTCATCATCATCCATGTTCATGGCTGGTGGTGGTGGTGGTGGCGGTGGATTGGGGTTTGGTGGCGGATTGGGCGGATTGGGTGGAGGGTTTGGCGGGTTCGGCGGTGGATTAGGTGGACTGGGAGGCGGATTGGGTGGATTGGGAGGCGGGTTGGGAGGATTAGGTGGTGGTGGGGGAGTCTGTTGAGGACGGGGTACTGTCTTGATGTTAGAAAATGAAGATCTAGCTTCTTCAAGGAAACTCACGATCATCCTCGTCATCATCCTCATCTCTTTGAGGAGGACGCGGTGGTGCCGGATTATTATCAGGCCGGGGCGGACCATTCGGTGGCTTTGGTGCTTTGGTGCCAGTCAGCAGTGAGATCATGACCAAGCCCTGGTATAGTGTTGTTGCGACTCACGATCATCATCATCATCTCGAACGAAGAGTCCAGCATAAGGAGACAAATTGTCCCTCTGCTTGACGTGATGGCCCTGAGCGAAGACTTCATGTGACCTGGCCGTCAGAGGTCGAGGAGGCAGAGCAATAGCTGAGCCAAAGGACTCTACAAGGAGGATCCCAATCAGTGCCTTTCTCCAAAGGTTGAGCATAATGATGAATATGTCTGCGGAAATAACTAGGTTTCTTTGCGGTGCGAGCCTGTTTGTGTAAGCATCAGTGAGCCTGAGTCTGTAGCTTCGGAGAGGACGGCAATATCCATCCTCTTTATATCTGGCCAAAATTAACAATATTAGAAGGGCGCATGTTTTCTCATGAACAGGAGTGGCTGCGTATATGCCATCATTAGCAACGTTCCAGCTCATACCCCGAAAATAGCCCGGCTTCGTCCTAACGAGGCATAAGTTGACACAGCATCGACCGAGGGGGTCACTGCATAGGGGGGGCTCTCAAAGTTCACAGAATGACGCGAGACGGCTGAGGCTTTCCAGATCGACGAAGACAATGCGAAAGATGAGTGGACGATGCTCAGCCGCCAAGTGAAAATGCCCAGCTTGATGAGTTGACTAGCTCCGTCTGCGCCATCTCGCTGCGAGAGGTGCACGTCATGTCAGTCCTTCCTCGCTTGTGCTTCAGATCTCTGCCGTGGTCATTGGACGATGCAACTTTGGTGGCTAATGTGAAGCAAGGACAAGGATCAGATACGGATCTTCCGGAAAAGGGGTTCCTCCCATAGGCTAGCTTGTCTCATGTCTTTCGAGAACTGTTGATGCAAGAATAGTTACCTATCGCAATGTGACTTTCATCTGAGCAAGCATTGGTTCTAGTCTGGATGATTGCGATATGCTGGCACCATCGATATCTAGAAACCATCCCTAGCCGATTTCTCTGTTCAAGTTTAGATACGACGGTGGCCGGCGTCTCAAAGTCCCGGTGCGGAAAGTATTCAAAGCATCAAACGAGTATCATTCAACGAATTTCGTTTCGATCATGATATCTGCCGAGCGATTTCAAGGGCTGTTCAGCCGGCAGATGCTGTTGTGCCTAAAAGCTGGGGTTCTCCCTGAAACGCGACCAGTTGCTTGGCGGCCTCTCATGAGCTTGGAGAACTCTAAAGAGGCCGGGTCAAATGCAGCAAGAGTTTATTCTGGCGGGTTAGTGAGAAATAGCTCTTCGGTCGCTCCCGACACGCAATATGATGAGTTTCTGTCCGCATTTCCATGCCGTTGAGGGAACCCTGGCCGCTAGCTCGTCTCCTAGCTTAGATCTTATCAAGTTTGATCGACCATTTTTCAAGCTTATTCGACTGTAGCAAACAACCTTGTTTCCCATGCAGCTGATGAATGGATGATTGCAGGCTCAAAGTACCACCCAACCAAAGTCTACGATCTATTCAGCAGCTGTCGCCCACCGACGTGACGCGTTGGGAGGCTCATCGCAGCTTCAATTCAACAGCACGGACAAAATTACGCTGGATCCTCTTTATGTATTCGAATACCGTGCGTACTTCATGCGGCGCAGCTTCTTGGCTGTTCGCGATCGGCCGAATTAGAGTAGAGCATGCTTAAACTTTCGAAGAACGTCAATGTTTCGCTATATGAACAGACGTGCAAGCTACGAGGCTTGGCTCATTCTCAGCTGCCATTAAAACATTTGGAGATTCTGCATGGGATGATGGCGAAAAGTCGGGGGCCAGGTGGTCGTTCTCGCCACGCAAAATTCTGATTCGAGCCAGGACATGGCATCTTGGCATCTGTTCGTCTTTCAAACTCTAAACGATTTCTCCACATCAGTATAAACTTAGTGCAAGGTCAAAGCAGCTTCCTCCATTGTTTGGTGGCGAGGAAGGTCCAATGATCTTATCTGTGCCTCGATGATGATGGCCACATTCTCATGTTGTGACTAGCACCGTAGTCTGTGACCCCAGCTGCTGACGTCTCTATTGTACAAAGTTTGCCTCAACCAAAAATTGCAAAGACTCCGCCTAGCCTTGCCTTGGCTTGGTCTCCAGTATCTTCGCCGTCGTTCGAACTGATCCCACCGGAGCGATAATCACCAATGTTTGAACAGAGTGTCCAGTAGCGGCAGCACAATTTCTGGCTCGCAGTAAATTGTGTTAACGTTCTCAATCTGCCGACCTGGGCCACAATCATTGACCTTCAGAGCGGCGTCAGCCAGGCCCTGAATGGGTCTACCTGCGATGTTTCTGATCGCCAGGGCGAGACCAAGAGGCTAGAAGGGGTCCACGTATCCCTCTCTTGCTGCTGAAATCCTGCTGTTGAGCCAGTTTGGAATCCATAGACGTCTGAGGTGTGCATATCCTCCGTTTTTCAGCTCAGTGCTTAGGTTGAGAATGTCGGAATACTTGAGGTCGTTGCTCGCGACGCTCACGATACTCTCAGAAAGGATGGACAGAAGAACGCTGCGCAGACGCACGCCGCTGGGATAGCACGTAGCGCCGTACGGGTTGAGAAGGCCAGTGCCGTAAAGCAGCAGATACTTGAGTTATTCGAAGGGAGCTAGCGATAAGATGGCAGACTCTTCGTCAAGTTCCATGCTGCGTCGAAAGATGTGCATGGTATGGAGTGTCCTTCTGTGTCTTCGCAACAATACCGACATCTCCCTAGGTATGACTTCAAAGGGATAGGCCTCGGTGCCCCAAGATTCGTCTTCAAAACTGTCGTACACGTTGTTTCTTTCTATGAAAGAATCTATGAGCTGCTGAGTAGTAAGAGAAGACTTTCAGGGTGCTACTCAAGTTCAAGATACTTCTCATCTCCTTGGAGCTCAGAAAAACGTTCTGAGCGCCTAGATTCCTGAGTTTCCTTGGCTTAGATAATCCTCTGTCGACCAGTTGGCATCGATCAAAGCAAAGCTCTTCCAATTGAGGGCTGCACAAAGGAACCATCGGCTCTTTGGCCGTACGTGGGGGTAAACATGGTGTATTCTACCTACCTACTAGGCAAGACGTGGACTTTCAATCAAACGATAGTAAGGCGCATGCCTGGCACAAGAAGTACTACCTTGTTTCAACTCGGATTTTGTGGTTTGTAACCCATATACCTCCGGGTGTCTGCTGAATTTGGGCTTCATCAGTTGATACCTGCTTCCTCCCTCGTCCCTGATAAAGTAAGCACGCAGACTACAACTATCATCGAGATTGCTTAGGGTATGAGAAAGCTTCTACCGCGGGACTTTGCCATAAATCGCCATCGTGACTGACTTCATTGTATGGCACCTAACTTGATGACGTAATGAATACTCACTATGTGGGAAGTATGTGTAACTTATAGACGTCTCCTGGATGATTTGGTGCCACGTGCCCACCGGAAGTAGCTTGATAGCATATATTTCAACATCGCTATCGTGTCTCATAGCCTGAGGCGCGTCTCTACAATACGCGTTCACGGTGAAAGGTGAGCGGCGGGGGCAGGTTCGGAAGCGCGAGGTCTTAGGCAGGAACGTGAGAATCAGCCATCAAGTGATTGGTACACCAGCTGGTGCCTAGGCAACCTTTCAATGGAACGATAAATATCAAGTAGTTTTAATTACTCAAAGCTACTTTTAGTTTAGGTGCAGGTGGACTTCTGCATGAGTACCGTCTCGAGTTAGGAATTGTTACATGTAAGTTCCGTTTCTTTCGACATGCAGCCTAACGTTGACACTGAGCTTTGCACATTCATTATCGGGGACGGGAATTGTCCTATGCTGGCTTTTTGACTTTATGCTAAGCTTTTGCTTCCCTCACCTACCTTAGTCAGAAACGCGTTGCCTCCAGCATCGATGTCACAAGACGGCCCCTTCGACATCTGGCCAGCAGTCTCCAATCTTTCCGTCGCTTTGCACAGCCAGGACCACGCTTCCCTCGCCATTCAGAGGGCTTCCGTCCCAGACGACAAAGTCGCCAAGGATAGTGGTTTCTGTCAGTACCTCTCCAGATCCGTTCGGAGCTCGAACATTGCCATTCAACCCGAGTATCTCATCAAAGTTTGTCGAGACCAGCTTGATGGCTTCTTTGTCCGCCAGCCCAGCGAACTTTGCCACCCACTGCGCCTCCTGGGCCAAACCATGGATTTTGGAGTCGCCTCTGACGGCAAGGGCGACTAGAACACCAGCATCGATAAGTACTTGGGCAGGACTTGGTGAGAGAGGCGGGCCCGCAAGTGAGGATTTCTTCTCCCACCTATCGGGCGCACCCCTGTTTCCAGTCAGAATGACGGGGACCTGAGCTTCGTTGAGCTCCTTCGCGACCTAAGTGCCAATTGCTTTAGCTTTTTGTTCTTCCAAAATACAAACGATGCCTTACCAGAGGAGCTCCATGGCCGCCGAAGATGACAAACTTCACGGTGGGAAATTCTCGCTTCAGGAGAACAATCTGCGAAATATCATCCTGCGACAAGTTTACTCTTATTCAGTGTACTCTCCCAAATATTGGAGAAGAACCGACAAACCTCGTTCACTGTATATACAACGACTGGAAGAGAGCCATGCGCGGCGCGATAGTACACGCTACTTGGAGATTGGTCTTGGCCCTGTCCCTCAAGAAGGGTTTGACGCAGTCGCTCAACGCCGGAAGACACAGTCGGGGTATCATCGCCTGCACAAGGGTCAGTAAAAAATCAATTACTTTTCATAAGGAAAGTAACTCACCTTTGGCCTCTTGACCAATAGCAAAGTGAAGAGCCACTTCGTCCCGCCAAATTCCGCCTCCCAGAATCGTTGCGTTCTCACTTGTCCGCAAGCCGACACTTACCCCCTGGAGAACACCGCCTCCAAAGATAGGAGCCGTGATCGCCCTTGTCACGCCGCCGATCCTTGCTCTGCCGAAGCCTCTTCCACCCAAGTGGACACCATATCTGGCACTATGCAAGTGCTTCTGGGCATCGAGTGCATTCACCTTTGATCCTGGTGATCCGTCGCCTGTTGACGGCTCAGATGAAACGTCGAGAATACCAAGATTATTGCCGAAAGCAATCAGGCCAGGAGTGACGTATCCGTTGGATAGTTTAATCTCCACAGTCCCGTTATGCTGAAGGGTAGATGAACATTTGGACTCGACATCTAGACAAGTGATACGACCGTTAGAAACCACTAGGGCAAGGTCTTGCTCCTGTTCGACGGCCAAGACAACCTCAGGGAGTTGATTTTCCAAAAGAGAGCTCTTGATGCCGGTGAAGAGAATATTTGCTCCCGGAGCTGTCGCTCGATTACAAACATCTCGCTTCTCTGTCTGCAAAACATACGGGCGTGCCTCCGGCACAACATTATCCGTGGATGAAACCTGGGCTTTCAATCGTTGAAGAGAGTCTTTGATGTCGAGAACCTCTCTGCCATCGACATACACTTGAACAGTTGTAGCACCAACCGAAAGAGGATGAGAATCCCAGATAACCAGGTCAGCATCATATCCAGGTCTTACGAAGCCAATTCGATGGCCCTGGTAGATGGATTGTGCAGCGACAGAGGTCACAGACTGTAAAGCTTTGTTTTCGGACAAGCCGAATGAGTGGGAAACAGCAGCTTGGTACATGAGATACTTGGCATGATTGCTTTCACCAGTGTGGTCCTACAACGAACACACGCCGAATTGTTAGTCAAATACCAACAATATAATACGGAAAGGTTAGTTACTGACCGACTTCAAAACAACGCGGATGCCATGATCATCGAGGATCTTGGGGCCTCGAAGGTTTGCACCGTAGGCTTCATGCTTGAAGAGCGAGTTCTCGGCAAAGGTGGCAATGGTAATATTTCTGGCCAGTGTCAAGACGTCTTCCCGATCCCGTAGGGTGAGATGGTACTTACTCTTCCTGCTTCTTGAGAAACTCGGGAACTTGCCAAGCTTCAAGAGCATGATGGAAGGCCTGTGGATGAACCCCGAACTCATGGAGCACATCGAGCATCCGCTCAAAATCTTCGGGTTCATAGCAGTGGATGTTGACGTTGAACTTGCCTTTGAGAAGAGCTACCGTTGCTTCTAGTTCTAAGTCTTCCGGCCGCTCACCTGCTTTGTCTACAAGTCGGGAGACTCGGCTTTGCTGCCATAGACCACCGGACTGGAGTTCTTGGGCAATTTGACACCAAGCTTCCTGCTTGAACTTGAGCTTCTGTGCCTTTTCTAGGTGCTGTCTCAGAAGCCAGACATTGCCGAGCCGGGTATGCCCATACAGGTGCTTTGGATTCTCGCCACACGCCATCTTAAGATATCGTTGACGACTCAACTCCGGAATCCCATGCTCGAGTAGCAATTCTTCGACAACGGGTTCGCCATTTTCACCAGGAAGCGGTAGATTCTTTACCAAGTACCCTTGGCCACCAATAATGTTGCCAGACCCAGGCAAATTTAGAGAAGACGTGACACCGCCGGACGCAATGATCTTAATCGCAGGATCATATGGTTTGAAGCCGTCAATCGCACGGACGAAAGGAGTGATGGGACCAAGTCCAGGCTTCTCGTTGACGTCTGCGATCGCTGAGACCGAAGAGAAAGGGAGTTCCAAATGGTGAGAATGGATGTCAACAAGACCAGGAGTAACAAATCTCCCTTTGACATCATACAAATCCGTATTGCTGGGAAAAGTCACCTCATCCCGAGTCTCGAACACTGACTTGATAACTCCCTGTTCGAACGTAATATCGACAGTCGCCGCAAGGACCTTCTCTCCGTCGAACAGAGTTGCATTGCGAAGTACAATGGCGCGCTGCTGTCCAGACTTTGAGTTCCAGCGCGGATTTGACCGATTTGGCGAGGACGACTCTCGACTCGCGCTTCGCGAACTACTCTCGCCACACTTGGTCAATCCTCTTACGAATTGCTCTGATTGGTTGTATGAGGGCTCCCGAACAGCATTGCTGTAGTGAGATAGGAATAGTAAAAAAACGACAAGTCCCGCGAGGGTCATTAGACGTCCTCGGCGTCTCCGAATGAAGAAGCGTCGAGTTGGTGGTTGCGGTTGATACGGAGGGGGGCTTGCGTCGAAAAGCTCATCGTTTTTAGCGCCCATCGTGATTTGGCTTCTGGTTCAATGATATGACGGGCCTTTCTACTGAAGAAAGACAGTTAGATAAAAGCTGATCTGATTTTGATCAGAATTCGCATTACGTGCACTCAAATTCGCTACAGCAACCGCTTCTCCTCGAGCAGCTCGACTTGTTATCGGGTGAGTTTGTCCCGACGTCGGGGTGGGTTGGGGATAAGGCTTGGTAGCTCTTTATTCCCAGAGGCGTCAACGTGGAGATAAAGCACGTCAGGCGGAGGCGGCCCACTTGGGAACTCGACTGCATGTTACGAGTAATCCTATCTTGGTCATGGAGATTGAGATTACCACTCTTTTCATGGTACATTCAAAGTATGTTGATTGGAGACACTGGCGCTCTGGAGGTAGGGCGTTGTTGCAAACTAGATTCCCTTTAAATTTAGGAAGTAAATTATTGCTGATAGATTCAGCCAGTCATCATGAGATTTCTAACTGGCCAAATCACTAGATGTTACTTTGTAGAGCTTAAGACCAGGATCAATATCTACGTTGTCGTTTCCACAACACTCAAAGCCCTATTTTCGATTGTTTTAGAGCTGCGGCCTTTACCCGACCACAATCATGTAGTCGGGTCTATCCCGACAATTACACCGGCTTCAAGTCCCGAACAGACCATTCCAGAGCCCGAAAAAAGGATGGACATCTGCAAACTGCCAAGACGCCTTGCCGAGTAGGTCTCGTACGCCGAAGCCGTCATTCTGGTCTTTAATGGCGCCACAAGGTACCCGCCCACTTCCCGCCGACCATTTCCCTGCAAAATCCCGGCGATTTGGTGTTCAACGCGTCGAACGGGGACTTACAGCGGGAGGTCAATACGGATTAAGCATACTGGTACGTAACTGACCTGCTTTTACCGGAGCCGATTGTAAAAGCCGTTCAGATGTCAGCGCGTTTAGAGGAACGACGGAAACCGAGACCGGGCATCTTATTAGGATCATAAGCATTTTGGGATATGGCGCAAGAGTCAGGAGTGTAATGGCATACTTCATTGGGTGTGGACCTCGGTAATGTGACGCCTTTGGGTCATTTCGTCCGAGATATCTTTGTTGTTGTACGCAAGCTGTGAGGCAAAGTTACTCTGGTTGCACGCATGTCCGGCGAATCCTTTGCGGAGTAAGGACACGGACGACCTGGGACCACACCACTGTCGAGGTTCTGAATGAACAGCTTATTGCGCCAAGCAGACCAACGCGGGATCTAGATGTGTCCTATTAACATCCACTTTTAGCTCAGAATACATCCAGGCAACGCAAAGACCCTAGACATTGACGCCACTGACAGTCGGCCCGGCCAAGGTCGAGGTTTTGCCCTGGATCAGGACGTCGATAAAGATAAGGTGGCTTCGGACTCTGTCTGTCTCTATCCCACCGGCTGTCTTCCTGGAGTGATGCATCCTGTTCTCAACCCCAAGTCTTTTGTACACGTTGATAATTGAACTTGTCGCCTAGGTAGTCACGGATCAATATGGGTACACTCAATGAGAAAACGGGAGACACCATCGACGTTGTCACACCCGCAGATGCAAACCTTCAGGTTTGACCTACTCTGATCGAATGCACAGATGAGTCAATCTGACACTTACACAGAGAGAGAGTTTCGATGAAAAGGTTTCCATCGACGATGTAGCGAGGTATTTACTTGATTTCCACACCGAGATTTACACCAGACCATATCATGTCGCCGGGGAAAGCTGACACTTCGCAGGCAACTCAATGCCACCCCCGAAGAAGTCCTCGAAGCCAGAGAACTTTCACGCTCCCTATCTCTCGAGGAGGCCAGATCGGTATGCAGTCTTCGGACCCCACCGTTGTAGCCAGGAAGTTTCAGCCTCTAACCCATCTCAAAGTCGGCCGAGAGACTAGTGCAACAGCATGGTCTCGATCCCAACTTCCCGGCAGGAGCCCTCGAGCGTCTCAAGGAGTTCCTCGCCAACGAAGATATCCTCGCCAACCCGGATTCGCACAGTCGTGAAATCTCAGAGGCCAAGATCGAAGTTTCTCTGTTGACTTCCAATAGCCCGTACGCCGAGGTTCGCGCTGTAGTCGACCCGCATGATGATGCTAGCATGCCAGTCGCCACGATCCGTGCCTGGACTATCGGTCTCTTTTTCGTCGTCTTCATCGCTTTCATTAACCAGCTCTTCAGTGTGCGCCAGCCTTCTATCACGTTGCGCGCGGAAGTCGTACAACTCCTCGCGTATCCAGTCGGCAAAGCTGCCGAAAAATGGCTTCCCGATGTCGGCTTCACGCTCTTTGGGGTTCGGCATAGTCTCAATCCTGGACCGTTCAACAAGAAGGAGCACATGCTCATTTCGATCATGGCAAGTGTTGGGAAGACTCTGCCGAGTTCCAGATACATCAGTGAGTTATCCTCTACAGACTACTCGACACGTAATTCGGCCGCCCATTACTAATAAACCGTTAGTCTTTACGCAGTGGATGGACCGTTACTTTGGCCAGAAGTATGCCAAGTCTTTCAGTTACCAGATTCTTCTGGCTCTTTCCACAAATCTGATGGGATTCGGACTAGCCGGTTTGTGTAGAAGGTTCTTGGTCTACCCATCTTTCTGCCTCTGGCCGGCATCTCTAGTCACCATCGCTCTTAACAGCTCCTTACACAACGGTATGATATTAGTGATATGCTAAACATATGACGAAGTTGGATGCTAATGGTTCCCACAGAGGCAAACCATCCAGTACCCGGTCCTTTCAAGAAGATCTACAACATGTCGCGATACCGATTATTCATGGTTGCTTTCGCCGCGATGTTTGTGTGGTTCTGGTTCCCTGATTACATCTTCGGTGCACTGTCCCTGTTCAACTGGATCGCCTGGATTGCTCCCAATAACTTTACACTCACTGCCATTACCGGTGTTAACAAGGGTCTCGGCTTCAATCCCATCCCAACTTTTGACTGGAACGTTGCAACACACGTCGTTCAGCCTCTTGTGGTCCCTTTCCGTGTTACCTTCAACACCTTTATCGGCGTGTTCCTGGGCGGTATCACAATCATCGGACTCTACTGGACCAATGCGTACAACACTGCTTACCTCCCTATCAACTCGAATCTGATGTACAATCACTTCGGTGGCTCATACAACGTTTCAAAGATCTTGGATGGCAGAGGGTGGCTCAACGAGACCAAGTACCAGGCGTACTCCCCCGTGTACCTCGCAGCTAGTAGTATCACGATGTACTACTACTTCTTCGCTGTCTATGCGGCTACCGTTTCCTATGCCATTCTCTATCATCGTCACGATATTGCACTTGGTTTCCGGAGTTTGTGGCGCAGCTTCAAGAAAGAGGCGTCGACTGATTTCAAGGATGTTCATACAAGGCTGATGTCCAACTACCCAGAAGGTATGTCTGAAGCTAACTTGGAAGATTAATTAGTACTGAAATCCCTCTCAGTTCCTGAATGGTGGTACCTGATTCTCAATCTGGCCGCCATTGCTTTCGGTGTTGCGGCAGTTGCTGCATGGCCGACCGAGGTAAGTCGAACGACCCATACTGCTACTGCCGTTGCCGCTTAGCGACTAACATTCTACCAGACGAGCGTTGGTGTTGTGTTCTTCGGCATTGCGCTTGCCCTGGTCTTTGTTATTCCAACAGGTATTATTTTCGCTACGACTGGCATGGAAGTGGAATTCAAGTAAGCAAACCTGGCTTGTCAATGTTTTTTAGTTGTTCATATAAGACTAACATGACATAGCGTCCTTGCGGAATTCATTGGAGGTGCCTGGGAGCCGGGCAATGCCTTGGCCATGAACTTCTTCAAGTGCTTCGGGTAAGTGAATAATCTGCTGTTGTGTTCCACCTGAGGTACCTTAGTATTCAACAACTTACGATACTCGCAGTTATGTCACTACAGCTCATGCTCTTGACTTTGCCAATGACTTGAAGCTAGCTCACTACCTCAAGATCCCACAGAGGCACACCTTCGCCGCTCAAGTCGTTGCTGTCTTTGTCTCAGCATTTGTCTGTACTGGCGTTATGAACTTTCAGATCAGCAACATTCCAGATCTTTGCTCAACGTCAGTATACTGCAAAACATCATATTTGTCATGGTCGGACGACTAACGTGAAAGTCCTACAGAAACCAAAAAGACCGTTTCACTTGCCCTGGCGTAAACACCTACTTTACTGCTGCGGTGCTGTTCGGTAGTCTAGGTGCCCGAAAGGTCTTTGGATCAGGCGGCATCTATACAGCCCTACTCTCAGCGTTCCCGGTCGGCTTTGCACTTCCTTTCATTTTCTACTACTTCCAGCGCAAATTTCCTCGTACCCACTGGTTCGCCAAGATTCACCCAGTGATGATCCTCAGCGGTGGCATCAGCTGGTCTCCTGTAAGCTTTCCCAATGGTTGGTTTACGATCGCTTTTGTGGCTAACATCAAGTCAAGTACAACATCGCTTATATGTGGCCGGCCGTCCTGCCTGGATGGCTGAGCATGGTGTACCTCCGCCAGCGTTATCTTGCGTTCTGGTCAAAGTACAACTACGTCTTGTCGGCGGCTTTCTCGACTGCCATCGCCATCGCTGGTGTGATTATCTTCTTTGCCGTCAGTTATCACGGATTTGAGATTACTTGGTGGGGCAACGACTCGGAGAGTGGATGCGAGTCTACGGCCTGCACGCTGCTGAAGCTGCCTAAAGGCGAATATTTTGGACCGCGCGTTGGAACTTACGCTAGTTAACGAGATGAAGTTTTGAAACCATTGATCGAGGAAATGCAAGCCGTCCAGCGAGGCCGAGTTATTTCTACGGGCTCATACATACTGTGTAGCAAATCTTGGGTGCCACGGCATTCTAGCGAAATACAAGTGGCTCTTCTCACAGCCAGAAGAGGGTCAGATCATTAGTCGTTGACCCGGCCTCACATCGCCAAGGAAGATACTTGACATAAAACATACCGTATCCTTCAGCTATGCGCGACCTGCCATATACAGAGCCCATGCGGCTTGTAGGCGGTGAGGCGTCGCGCTTCAACCACAATCAGGCCATGACTCGGTCAGCTCACCGAAAGCTTAGCCCTCTGGCGAGATTACACTTTGACCCTGGCCATCAACCAGAACGGGGGACGATGAAACTCTATCGGCGACCGCCAATCAGCACAGTTAAATGGTAACCGAGTACTGGTTTCTACGAAAGTTAGTTTAAGCCATCGTATACCTCCTTTGACGTCAGCCCCTCTTCTCCTCGATTCACAACACCTCTACGGATAGGTCGAGTCGAATTGAAAGGGTCCGGCCAAGGTGTCGCTCAGCTCCACCCTCCCCTTCTGCCGGCAGAAATATAGCAGCAGCTCGCATTCGATATCTCGCGTCGCGCGCCCTTGCCGCGCCTCCGAAAGCCCCACTATTCGAGCCCGGCGTGTCCGGCGGACTGTAAGGTCTCGTTAGAGTTCGTTGCCATGAGCTGTGGCCGTTCTCCACCCGGTACCTCCGGACCCAAGTCACGACCATCCGTCCCAGCTAAGAAGAGTTGCACACCTTGCAGGTAAGTCCGAAGATTTCGTCGCGGTACAACATAGGACGATGTCAGAAGGACTCGGACTGACCTGGTCTCTAGAATCCATAGAGTCAAGTGTGATGAGACAAGACCAGCTTGTCGACGGTGTAGCATCACAGGCAAGGTCTGCGATGGCTACGGCGGTGAGGGTGGCGGTCCAGCGGCCCGCAGACCCTCACTGCCACTTCTCCAGACCTCATCAGCATCTCCATCGCGTTGCGACACACATGCGGGCTCGGCGGAGCTAAGCTGTACTGATAAACTTCACTTCGAGTGGTTCGTGAGCCGGACCACGAACCAACTGCCTGGCGTCTTCAACTCGCCGTTCTGGAAGACCTTAGTGCTTCAAGCTAGCTCGACTGAGCCTGCTATCCTCTATGCTATCCTCGCCCTGGGTGCGGCCCACGAGACATCAAATATCGACGCATGCATCGTCAAACGGGAGCCGTCAAGTCCCGAGACAGCGGATCAACAGGAACACCTCAGCCTGCAGTATTACAACAAGTCCATTTATCACCTTCAGAAGCATTTACGCACGCCAAGCACAGAATCAATACGCGTCGTTCTAGTTGTCTGCACGGTCTACATATGCATGGAGTTCATGCAAAAGCGATACAAGACGGGATTCCTTCACTTCAGACACAGTCTCCAGCTTCTGGGAAGCTTGTTGAGATCTTCTGCTCCGACATCATCATGCGACCCAGCAGATGACTGGTTCGTTGATGTCATACCTCGACTAGATATCCAAGCGACTCTTCTTACGAACGAGTTTTACCAAGGTGCCGGCACTAAACACACCTCATCGATATGGCCGCCAATGCCCCGGCTGTTTCAATCAGTTCGGGACGCTAGCCAAAGCCTCGACGGCCTCTTGTTCAGAGCGTACCAATTACAGAAAGACGGTGCCGCGGCCGGACCAGCAGAAGATGCAGCTGACATCTTTGAGCTGCTCGCTACACAGCAGTCCCTTCGGAACGAGCTAGAATTGTGGATACAAGCCTTTGAAATCTTCAAAGCCAGGACGTGGAACTTCGTAATAGATCGAGAGAGGCTCGCCTACGGACCGCTGCCGATTTATCACACTATGGCATACATCATCACCAATACTTCTCTAAATCCTGGAAATGAGCTTATCTTTGACCTATACACGAGTCACTTTGCGTCGGTTGTAGCTTCGGCGAGGCAGCTTATTGAGGCGACATCATCTGCAACCATGCTGACACCTGCTGCTGAATCGTCGCCAGAGAATTATACGCATCAAGCAGAGCACGCCTCAGACACGGGCTTGGTTCCGCCGTTATTCTTCACCGCTGTCAAGTGTCGCGTGCCCAGGATCAGACGTCAGGCATTGGAACTTCTTCTAGCATCTCAACGGCAGGAAGGAATCTGGGATGCGATATTATCCGCGCGGATAGCGAAAGAAGTGATGGTTCTTGAAGAGCGGGGTCTCTATGAAGGTGATGTTGACGAGAAGAGGGCTTCCCCAGATTTTGTGATCCCGGTTCTGCCGGGGCCGCCCAGGATACACAAACTCTGGATCGAGGTGCCGGAGGAGCCACGCGGAGATATCCTTCTCAGCATCCAGAGGATCTTTCCAGAGGGCAAACGGGAGACCCTGGGAAGGCGGTTTCACGCGGAGCATGACTATTGGACTTCTGTTCCCGTAACACTACGCGTCGCTAAGGTAACTGAGCAGGCCAAGTAGGGAAGGCCATGCTCCGAAGTGATCTGGAGGGAGGAGTCGCGAATACCCTTTGTACTATTATTTAACCCAATGCGATCAGTGCCTCTTCTGAGACGAGTACACATTCAGCGCATATCTGCGAAAGCTTTTGGTCTGTCGTCTCCAACTCCTGCCTGGCCCATGCCTTGGTGGGATGCCATCTCGTATCTGACATTCATGCTGCTGGCGGATATTTCATACAAGCCATGCCCCTCAACTGGCAGTTCTGGCTGCCATCCAGGGGCTTGGGCATAGTGATACGGTTGTTGCTGGCTCCCATCACGGCTGTGCTTCTTCTCAGCTTGTGCGATCGGGGTTTTTCTCGCTTGTCGTCGACGCCACAAAAGCCACCCGATAGTGCCCATGCCCAACACTGCAGCAAAAGTCACTCCAACCGCAATGCCTGCTGCAGCTCCCGACGATAAGCCTTGATCTTTCGTCGTCGGCAGTGGTGTTGCTGCAGAGGTGTTGCTTGGTTGGGGTATTACTTGGGCTTCGGTGATGTTGAAATAGTGGCAGGTGACGCCCCAGTTTGCCGGTTCTTTGCCTGGCCCGAGTAATTCGAAGAAGTAGAGGTTGCTGAGTTTCGGATTAGGGAAGTCCTTTATGGAGACTTCCCAGTTAATTGACTTTGCGGAGGTGCTCGCTACGGCCGGGCAATCGATGTCAGCCATGGGAGTTCTCCCTAAGTTGCAGGCCTTCCGTCGCTTCGCCTATTTGAACTCGGGCTTCATAAGATCGTGCAACTCACCTACGATATCGATGTAGTCTAAAGTGCTTCCGCCTCCTACCGATTCTTGCCATAATATCAACCTGGCAGAGTCGTATTCCATGTCCCAGTGGAGATCTATAATGTCTCCTATTGTGTAAGCGTTGTTGTCTCGGTAGTCATAGGCGAGACCTGGACCAGGTGGCCGGCGAAAACGGTTTTCGGCGGCGACAAATGCTGCGAAGAGCAAATAGAGACAAACCCACAGGCTTGATAGAGCCATGGCAACAAGTTGAAAGGTTCTTGATGGAAACGACTGATATGATGCGTGACACTATGGACGATTCACTGCGACAAGGGGACTCAGATTTTAGCTAACTTCAGCTTGAACGACGGAAGGATGAGACATCCGGGACCTCGCAGCATTTAACAAAACCATTCTGCAAGGCAGAATCGCGGAGGATGCTTGACCCTGCTATGCAAAATAAGCGCTAACGATGTGCGACTAGGCGGTTACAATAAAATCTCACAGACCCAAGTACCACCCTGTACGAAGGATCTGCCCTCAAGGATTAACAATGGCAAGACCTATCGCGCGCTGCAGCCGAGATGCGAGGCAGCAGTGTGCGATCTCCCGAATTAAATGGGCTTCAGCCGCTCAATCGACTTTCTTCGATTGGACGGCAACCTAGGAGGGGTACTTGAATTATCAAAGTTCCATGTTCCTTTCGGAAGCTTGACCGATTCCCACGGGTTCCACACTAGATAGCAGTCACTTTGCCATGCGAAGATGCAACGGTAAGCTCGGGATCTCCACATTAACAGGTTAAGATTCTAACCAAGCTTAATTAGACCATCTTTCCCGTAACCTAGTGTCCTTAGGGAATTGGGTGCTTGCAGTGCCTTGCCTAACGCCAGTTGTGAACTTTTGGTGATAGTGAGTTAGGCTGCCCGATTCGCTGAATCTCGCTAAAACCGCGCCTCTCTTGGCCCTGACCGAGCCTCGGCCAGATCGGTCGGAAACTTGAGAAAATTAACTCGAAATGTTTCTGCCTGGTCGTCGTGCTATCTATCTTATTGTACCCGGCTGGCTGCACTATCTGTTCTCATGCTTTCATGCCGACAACGCGCCGGAAGAGCAATAGCAAAAATCTTAAATATTTCACGTGTGCAGTAGTTTACCTAACCTTTCGGAGTATTTGAATTTACATATCCAGCAACCTGAATCAACGATAGTGTTACACAGGGTTACCAAACTTATCCGTCTTCTTTGCCTTGGAGGTGAAGCACTCATCATCTGGCCCACAGCCCTGCCAGTTGAAAGATTCCCCAGGCGAGAAGCATGCGCTGTCGCAATTCTGCTTCTTGCAAAGCCCATGCGCCTCATCACCGCCGACCCACCCATCATCTTTGGCACCGTTGACTGTTCCTTCTATCGCATGCCACTATTTCTCATCAGCAAACTAATCAACCTGATACAAAACCATTGGAGGGGAAGAATGGTGCCGACGTACGTAAGGGCCGCTGTACGGCGCGCCGTGTAGCTCATCAGAAAACCAATTGCCTCCAGCTATAAGATCTTGTTAGCGACGATGAAGTTTAATAGCGTGAAGGCCAATTCTCTCACCATAAACGAACCGTCCGTCGTACGCGTTGACAACTGCTTTTGTTGCATCGTCGTTGATTTGAACACCAACAAGACCCTGGTCGCTGATACAGGCGCAAAGGCGGTGCTTATCAGCGCTGACACGCGCGACCCTGGGATCAATTAGCTCTCAATTTCACTCGTACCTTACTCGAAGTGCCAGCTTACATCAGCAGGCTGAGTAGGCAAAGATCTTTCAACGACATGATAGTCTTGGGCTACTAGTATGATATGCCAAATCAATTATACGTGATTAAAAGATAGTCTGTATGGTAGAAGCTGTGAACGAGAATTTGAAATAAAGTACGAGCTGATTGTGGCGAGGGGAAGTCGGACTCGAAAAAGTCATTTACATTTGTATGTACTCTCCCAAGCCTTACGTGCCCCATGGAGTCCTCAGTGGATGGCAGATGGCTGATAAGATATCGGCTTCCCCGACCTCTGGAGGTGTGAAATGTCGCTTTCATCAAGGCCTCAATATGACGATGCATTCATTGATTGAAGATTGCGGGGAATGTCACTTTTTCTTCCAATGCTCTATTTAGTCATCCGAACTTTGTTTGATTAGCAAATTAAGGTATATTGCTTTTGAGTTCCCAGGCAACGTGTTCCCGAGTTCTTGATAGGGGAAAGTGTTATCTCACTATCCGTAGAATAAGAGGGGCCTGTGCCGAGTCATATCCTTCCCAGGAAGTCTGGGGAACAATCTATTCGGACCAAAGATCGCTGCCACTCTGCAACGGGCTTGTCCGGGAAATTGGGATTTCTCTTTGAGCATGACTAATGCCAAAGCATGGCATCCCGTTGACGCATGGATGATCTCAAAACAACTTACCAGTGTGCTGTGAATGCCATTCTATCTGATTCGAATTGTAACCTGATGCCTACTCGATAGCATCTACTCAGTTTTTGTTCTTTGCCCTCAGACTCTCAAGAGATTGGTGGCTTCTAGACAAGGCCTGTTCTATTTGGTATTTGATCGTGGGGAAACCATTGATTCGAAGTTTCTCGTCTGTCTTACCATCAGATTGTGGACTTCTAGGTCTTATCCGTGTGATCATAGGAAAAGCCCCTCAAGTGGTATGAGTCAAACCATCTATTTCCAGGTAAACATGCTGCGACAGATGCCACCAATTCAAGACAAGAGACTATTATCAAGTCTTCTTGACCAATAACTAAGCTCGAGTGCTTATAGCTTGATTGATGGGTCTGTGTATGGCATGATGCCTTTGCCTGTTCACTAAGCCAGCCTTCTTTATCAATGTCTTTGGTCAACACTCCATTTTCCTGGCACGCCCAAGCTCTCAACTTTGTAAACATCTCCATGACGTAGGCTCGAGCGAGCATCAGCGCTTGTAGATAACTGTGTATTTACCGACTGCTCTGACACATTCGATGAAGACTGCACGCTTATTGGTGGCAGAAATGAATACTACCACATACGTATCAAGAGGATGGGAGCTTTGACGGTGAGGAATAAGAGGTTGAGCGATATCAAGTGAGCTTCCCACATAAGTCTTGACGACATTTGTTCTCACTTTCCAATACCGCCGGTTATTGCTCCCTTCAAAATCGATGATCGCCAGTTGCGTGCCTCTCTTATCCTTGCAAGACCGGCAGAAGCGTTGTTTTAGGAATCATGGGCGTCCAAATTACGCGTGCTTTGGGCGAACAACTCCTGGAACACGCATAGGCACTCCAATTGACAATTTCAGGAAGTTTAAGGTCCCAGAACCAGATTCCAACTCATATAATAGACTGACTTGTTTGGGCAGACCACTTCTGGTCAGGTAGTGCGCGGTCAGGTATATATACGAACTTGGCGCCTGCAGGGCATCATTCGTTTCTCGAAGATGAGAGTTAGGTGCGAGTTCTTTGTGAAAAGGAGAGTGTCACTGGTTTGGGACGAAGCAAGGGGCAGAAGCGTAATGATGCAATAAAGGTAGCAAACTCTTTGACGTTGTACAACCACACAGATGCCCTGAGCATTGTTTTACACAGCAATCATTCACTGTTTGTTCTCTTTTGATAGTCAAGTTTTTCAATACCTACAGAGCTAAGCTTGGAGAAAGTACCCAGTGTGGAAGACATCATCCCATACCTAAGCGGTGAAGTGAGTATTCCCAACATTCACTGTTGCACGTGACGCCACCCACATACCAGGTCTTTTCTTCAGTCTGCTTTCTCATATGCTCCTTCCTTCCCACTATTGGTATCTCATAAGGAGGCTTCTGCCTGGGGTCAAATAGGTCATTTGCTTATAGATCTTCCGGGCGTTATTCAGAAAAACGTGACCAGAGGAGGCGGCTTGGTATTCCTTCCAAATTCTCCCTCATAGCTCAGCCCTTTCCTCCTACTTCATTCTGTAGAACACACATCTCCTCTTTCACATCTACTTCCTTTCTCTCTTTCATTGAGAAAACCTCGGTACTTCCCTCAAAAACCCTCGATTCTCGATCACCTTTACAACCACCCACATTGAGACCACTGACGAAGTTAAGGAACACTCATCATGATGATGGTCTCCCGCATCGTCTTCCAGGCAATCCTCGCCTTGGGTATTTATTCCCTGGCTACTTTCGCCCTGGCCGAGGACCTAACTATCACAAAGGCTGAAACCTTCCCGGTCATCGCCATCGAGGCCGGTCTTACCGCTCGCGATGACACGATCGCCCCTCACGACTGCGGCGATATTCTCAGGCGCGGCATCACCCCTCAGATCGACTGCTCCTACTCGGAAGAGAACTGTGGTTTCCAGGACGACATTGAATACATCATCCGCATCAAGCCTATTGGCAAGGTCAGCACCCACTGGTGCGGCATGATGCGGGCGCAGGTTGCAAAGGAGACCAATTCCTATATCGAGGAGATTGTGATGAAGAAGTGCGACCGCACTTACGAGGCCAACGAGAATGGCAATGGCATGTGGCTTGTCCTCAACATTCAGCACATCCACTTTCTCGGTGATCGGCGCCCTGATGTCGAGCGTGCTATCAGGAACACCATGTGCCCTGGTGGTCCAAAGCTGGACTATTGGTTCAATGAGGGGTACATATCTCTTCCCCTTTCCACCCCTCCCCCCCCCCTCCGAGGCAACCTTGTTCAACTCTGTAGCTAACTTCTTTTCACCACTAGTTGCTACCGCTCCAGTATCTGTAGCAAGCGCTACTGGAATGTCGATAAGCGTCGCAGCTTGCCTGACGCCCTCGAGCAGATCTCTTACCCCAAAGGACGTGATGTCCTCAAGGTCCGCCCCGAGATCGAGAAGCCTGTCACCGCCCTAGCCGCTACCAATGTTGTCGCCACCACTTAGCCGACTACGTTTCACACAATCAAGCAATTCTCACTGTCGAGAGTGTCACTTCGGACTTGGTCCTCAAAGACACTCCCACCGGTTTCGAGGCTCCTCAACCCCAAGCGATCAATGATATTACTCGTGGCCTTGACCACGACTTCGAATACGGAGGATACTTCCAGCTAGCGAGAATCAGTAAGGGGGCATCTTCGTCTTGAGATGCTCAGAGCCATGGGATTTGAGAAGCAGCAATGCCACTTCCTGGCTTCTTCCTCAGTCTGCGGTTTGTTGTGGAGTGTCAGGGGGTACACACGTCTTCGAAGAACGATGTGAGGACTATGGCTATGTTATTACAATGCAGCTAGATAGGAACATAAATCGGCTCCCGTTGCGGTATCATCATCTAGTGCACCGACTTAACCTTGAACTAGTCTAAAGCTTTCCGTGCCATATTTCACCGAGTTATATTGAAGGGCAGCCGCTCATGTAGAAGGAAACCAGTCAAGAGTAAGGAGGTACTCGGCGAGCCAGTCGACGAGGGCTCTCTGCTGAGGCCCCCAAGCCGCTGGCACTTCTTGGAGTGCCGGGCAATGGCCCTCTCGATATAGTTGTAACTCCCCTCCAAGATTGACAGCATGTCCCTATGAGTACCTAAGGTAGGTCATGGAGCGAGTCCTGTGACTTGTTCCTGTCGTGGATCTCGCCTCAAGTAGGAAAAGCACAGGGAGCCTCGTCCATGTTTTTAATCATTTTGCTCCTTTTGCTCTCCAATTGCCGTCCCGGAACAGCAGTGATAGATTCTTTCGGAGGCGAAGTGCTATCAAGAGACGGCAAGATTTCTCCACTCCCAACAATGGCCTTGAAAAGCCTGTGGCAAAAGCCGGTATGTCTGTTCACCTTTCTTAGGCGCTCTAGGAATCTCATCAGACTTCATAACCACGTTTAGCAAGCTCTATACTCACAGGATCTTTAGAAGCGCTGGAGTGCCAGCTGAACCACAAGAGGGGATAAAGTGACAGATACCTCAACTTTCTGAGAACCGTAACTTTTCCACTCAGCCGTCGCCAACTGCACTCTTCCAGATATTGAGTGAAAATAATAAACGATCGTGGTCATCTTGAGCATATCCAAAGGTTTTTGTTAAATGGCGGATAAAGCACAGGCTAGAGATTGTAGACAATGAGAAATTACATCAATCTCAATAATGAAAGGGTCAATCTTCCGATCAATCAGATCGACGACTGGGACTCTTCGGCAGCATAGGAACATTTGCAGACCGTATGACGTCTCAATAAACCTTGGCTAATTTCGAGTTGCTCCAGACTCGAGTGACAGAACCCGTACTCACCCGGCTATGTATCTCTAGGTAGTAGCCTTGCGGGGCTCAACCTGGACGGAAATCGTTTAAATCATAGGAGATCTCGTTGTCGCACAGGCTCCCGCACATGGCAAGTCCTCGCGAGCTCTCAACCACGTCAACATGAACACTCCCACCCGCCCGTCAGACGTTTCGAAACTCAACATCAGAAAGGTTCTTCTATATTCGGCAGATCGATGCTGCAGTGCCCAGCTTTTATCTGCCCTTGGGGTTCTCGGTGCGTTGCATCTCACCCTCCCCAGTCTACCAGAAATTCCAACATCATGAGTATCATGCTTGGACTCTTGGGAGAACTACATCAAAAATGAAAAACATCATATGAACAGCTTGGCAAAAAGAATATACAGTGAATAGAAGATCAATTCCCCAGGAACTCTCACAACCCCCACCCACTCTAAAAATGGAGAAAAAAAGGGTTGCTTCCCATCCATCTTCCCTCCTCCCGTATGTTGACGCAAAGGTGACCCAGCCTTTTAAAGAAGAACCCTCAATCATTGCCAGCGGATTCCAGCCCGGTTAGGAGAAGAGAAGAAGTCCTTGTCTCTGACAAGAAGCCAACCAAAAAAAATGAAGAGGGTCAAGTCGGAAGACTTTACATCCTCACAGCCTTCTTCGACTTACTCCCCCCGGTAGAAAAGGGCGCCAAAGGCGGCACGCTCTCCTTGGCCTTCTGCCTCGTCGTCAAATCACCGCCCCTCTTCTCCCCTTTGCTCTTTGTCGAGAACGGCGCCAGCGGCGGGACCTCCTCCTCGCCCCCCTTCTTCTTGCGCGCCTCGATGACCGCCTCGCGCTTCCTCGCGTCGGTGCCAAACGGGTTTAAGGGCGGAGGCGGGTCATTCTTGCCGGGCTTGTCGGCGCGTCGGGCTACAGCGGCCATGGCTTCCTCGTGGGCGAGTCCGGAGTGGAAGCGGATCGGGGAACGCTTGATTTGCGGGACGACGGGTTTCCCAGCATCTTCGCGCTTGATGAAGCTTACGACGCCGCCGATTGCGTCCGAGGCGCGGGCTTGGAGGCTTGCGATGGGGCTGGAAGTGTTTGTTAGTTGGGAGTCAGCTGGGAGAGTTGTGAGTCTTACCCAGACTCAACGGGCACGGCACCAACGCCGGCAACCGCAGCGGCGACGACGGCAACAGCAGAGAACTTCATCTTGTCTAATTCCAACGCTTCGTATCTTCGTGTTTGTAGTGTAAACCTTGTCGTAACTCGTTCCCGCCGTCGTAAAATGTGTGTTCGAGCCGGCGATGACGTTGAGTCGTGTAGGATAGTTGTATATGTGTATAATTTGAAAGGAAATGATCGACGCTTGGTCTATTCGATAGTCGGGTACTGAAAGTAAATGTTGTAGTTGTCAAGTAAAGTGATCGTCCGAATTCAGACGCAGCAACCAAAAGAAAAAGGGTGCGGAAGAAAGACCGGACGTCCACGACTCTTTTATCTATCTCTTCTCTTCCAGACGTCCGGTCCCAGACCACCGCCTCCTTTCCCCATATTCTTCAACTCTCCACATGAGCAATCCAGACATCCCGGACAATTGCGTGAGCTGACAGGCAGCTTACTCTACACCCTTGTCCGTCAACACCGGCCACCCGGCAGCCCCACGGCCTTGCCTCGCATCACAACGTGGCGCGCCCGCTCGATGCCACCCTTGGTCTGGTATCACATTCACATCTTGCCCTACCCAACTACCTCATATTCCACCTCGGCGTGACGATCGTATAAGAAAGAGTCCGGGGATGATGGTTGTACGCCTTGTACGCAATAAGCAGCGCACATCTAACTTCCACAAGCGCGTTTCCACAGTTTCAGCCCGCGACAATCCACACGAACCACGGGCCAACATCCGGTACAGACGGCGGGGACTTGCTCTCGGGTTTTTCTCTTTTACCTCAAATCGTCTCTATCTACGGAAATCTCTGCTCGGCGAGTTGAATTCTCCGCCAGTCCACTCGGTTTCCCCTCCCCATCCCACCGGGCTGAATATTGATGGCAGCCTTGAACTTGGGCAGACTTTCGAGGCTCCTGTTCCCCAACTCTGCCCAATACCACGGGCGAGAATACCGCCTTCTATTTTCAGCTGATGTCGTCTCGTCTCGTCTCATCTTCTCTGCCTTTGCAGCTCCAATCAACTCACCTTCGTAAGACATGGTCGAGCTGTTCAATTCCGCTCAACATCACCCGACCATCCGGTCATCCCGACTCAAGATTCGACGGCTCTCAGCTGCTGCTCGACTCGCGACGCCTTATCCAAAATCACTCGCCATGCGGTTGTCGCAAAACGGCACACAGCCACCGCCCTTCTCAACCTGATTCAGTTTTGCTCCCCTTTGTTCCCTCCACGACTCGCAAAGTGAAGAGTTGCCATTCTTGGCAGAGTCCATTCCATACTCTCTCCACTTGGTCGCTGCCCCATCCAAAAACAGCAACATGGGAAATCGGTACCAAAAGAATTCCCTCCATCCCTCAGACCCTCATCCGTCCGACCACTTCATCTGAAGCGATGCCGTAATCCGGTTCTCCCGAGCCTTTGCGCCATGCACCAGAGTGCTCAGCAACTTCTAATTTCTCCCATCTCTTCTTTTATCCGCCAAATTTCCACTAGCCTTCTTTCTCACCAACCCCTCATCTTAACCGAGTTGAACGAAGACATCGGGCTGTTTCGATAACCTCTACCCTCTGCCTCAATGACGAACGGTGTGTCACAAACCATGATTTAAACCTCAACTCTCTTTATTTGACAATCGAGGGATCGAGATCTGTTGCTCTCAGCGTCCATGGAACTATAGCTCGGTCCGATCTTACGTACCCGAGCGCGCGTATTCCTCCCAAGATGCCAAGAAAACAAAAGAGCCAGAAACCCAAGAAACCTCACCAAACCGAGTCGTGTTGTGACAAGACAAACCAGAGTGTGTGTTTCTCAACTCTTGCTGCGCCTCCTTTCACTTTCTGAACAATAAAGATCTCCCAGCTCAGACGTTGTGTAGACACCCCTGCCTTGATCTCAACCCATCCCATCCTTCCAGAATATTCGCGAATCCGACTTGACGTGCCCAGCCAAGCCCAAGAACTCCCAAGAACCCCCTTCAGCCAGCAATGTCCCCGGTCTCGATCCTCTACAATCATGCAACCTCACGAACGCCCAGCCCAAGCCCAAAGTCCCCTTCAACCCTCACCTAGTGTAAAACCAGGCTCGGCACCAACAGGCCGGTCATACCCAAGAGAAAAAAGTCCCCACGCAACGGCAGCCACACCACCCAACACCCCAGATCCCTGTCCCCGCCTCTGGATGCATTAGCGCACGTCAGCCGTCGATCATCAGCCTGGCTCCCCTCGGCAGATCCAGTAGCATGAACGGCGGCTCCATTTTGGGTTCCTTGGTGCCGTTGCAGGTCTTTCATCTAGACAACCTCCTCCCCTCTTGCATGACAACTGCCTCACCATCTTCACACACCGAGCCCACCACGGCAGACCGAATCACATGGTCAGAATCATGAGGATATGGTAGCATTGTGGAAAAGTCTATTCTTCATTCCTCGTGAGTGAACCGCCGCCAGAATGAGCCCACCAAGCGCCAAGCAATGCGACGACTGCACGCAGGTCCCAGAGGCGCAAAGAATACTACGTACAAGAAGGACAATTTTGT